GATGGGTAGTGCAAATTTATAGAATATTATTATAAAATTGTAACATTTTGAGTGCGATATACTATTTATACTTTGTTGCATTGGAAGATTATACTTGTTGCATTAGAAGATCTACTTTCTATAGAAATATACATCACCTTAAAATAAATAAATTTTTTACATTTATTTTGATAATACTTTTTATCAATATTTTTTTAATAAATTCATTAATTATTATTTTTATTTAATTTTATGATCAATGCACAACAATAACATGATATAAAGATGAAGAAGAATGTTGAACGAATAATAGCTAGTGCGGAAACAAACTAGGTTGTGCTATTAACATACCTCTAATGTCAGAATAGGAGAGGAATATAGAGGAAAGTGAAAAGAGAATAAAGGAAGAAGATGGGGACAAAGTCATAATTTTAAATAAGGGCAAAATGTAGCTTTCTTTTAATTTTTTATTTAAATAAAGTTAATTTGAGGGGAAAAAATGTTAATTAGGTGATAAGGACTCATTACTTGGAGTGCCAACTGAGAACCAAAAATAAGCATTTTAAAATTTTCATTAAATTGTTTAAATTAAAAAGTTGAAATTCTTAATGAAAAATAAAATATATGGTGACATCAATACTTAACAACGTAAGGATTAAAGAGAGATGGAAAAATTAAACTTGAAGGATTAAATAAGAAATTTATTTAATTGAAGGATTAAAATGAATGCCGTACAAAAATTCAAACACTCCCAAATGGGCTTATGGAAAATATTATACAAGCTTGATATTGAGAATTTACCTTTCTGGTAATTATCTAAATTTATTTCCTTATTAATTGAATTTATCCAAATCATGTAGAATTATAGGATGCGACGATCACCTGAAATTGTAAAATACTTTAAATTGCCGGGGCAATCTTAAGACCTGAAAACTTCCGGGAACTTTCGTGCATGCTCCCCCACTCATCCGTACCCTACAGAATAATAGCACTCTTCACGTAACAACAATTCCCCTGCAACGTCGAACGTCGGAATTGGTTAACTCTTTCGTGGCGATGATTTCTAGGTCGTCCTCTAGCCGGAGATCACGTGATTATGGAAGTACTTCCGCCAACAGGTCCCTGCAGATATTTCCGCAGGAGAGACACACGGACTTAGTTCGCCGGCAGGGTGGATTAATTTCGGTCCCCAGGACATTGTCATCAGCGCCTCTGATGGTGCCGGTGACCGACGGGACTCAGAAGATGACAAAATTGTTGCTGAAAGTACACATAGAGGGGAGCTTGGGGCCGGTGCATGTGGTGCTTCCACCGGAGAGCTCAGTAAGTGATTTGATAAAAGCGGCGACCCAGATCCACGTGAAGGAGAAGCGGCGGCCGCTGTTAAAGGAATCAGATCCGAATTCTTTTGAGCTTCACTACTCTCAGTTCAGTTTGGAGAGTAAGTTTTCTCATATCTTTCTCCCTTTTTTTTTGGTTAAATCTCTATTTTGGTCCCTGAACTATTGTATGGATCTCTGATTTGGTCCTTAAACTAAAGAAATCCCTGATTTAGTCCTTAAACTATTGTACGGACCCGATTTGGTCCCCATTGTTTATAATTTGGCCTAAGTTGGTCCTTAAACTATTGTACGGACCTCCAATTTGGTCCTTACTGTTTACAATATCACTCCAATTTGGTCATGAGCTATTATTTAACAGAAGGATCAAGTTGGGGTTAAATTGGTAAATAGTAGGGATCAAATTGGGCATCCGTACAATAGTTTAGGGACTAATTTAGTAGTCCGTATAATAGTTTAGGGATCAACTCAGGGTCCATACAATAGTTCAAGGATCAAATTAGAGATTTCTTTAGTTCAGAGACTAAATCGGAAGTCTGTACAATAATTCAGAGACCAAAATAGGAGTTTAACCTTTTTTTTTTTTAAGTAAAGGATTAGGGCATCTTCGGTTTCGATAAACTACTTTTGAAAATCCGCTGATAACTTTAGTGTATTAAGTTAAAAAGTGTATTAGTTAGTGTCCATTTTAAAATTAAATTTTCTTGAAATTAATGATTTTCTTAAAAAGCAAATTTCAAATTGTAAGCAATGAAGACGAATTTAATTTCTCTTTTATTTTTCTGTTTGGATAAATGGATAGTCTGATTAATTGTTTGGGATGAATTAAGGTTTGAGGCCAGAAGAAAAGTTGATAAACTTGGGGTCGAGGAACTTCTTTCTGTGTTCAAGACTTCCTGCCTCCTCTGCCAACGCTCGCAACTCTGATGAAGCAGAGAAGGCATCCCAGTTTCATCTTTCTTTGACAAAGTTAATGGAATACTTGCTATAGCTTGTTTTACTTCTTCCTGTTACTAGTACAAGAGATGCAACATTCAATGCACATTTATATATGGTATATATGTAGCCCTTATCATGTTGTCAACTTTTCTCTTTTTTTTTCAAACAAGGGCAATTAGGAGGTAAGGAAGGGAAAGGGTAGCTCGGAGTCGAACTCTAAACCCACTCCGCCCATCCAATGGAGAACCATATTTATCAACTTGTGCATTAAGAGGGAAATTGTTTATAAGGGAATGTGTTCAATTCTCAATATCAAGCTTGTATTATATTCCATAAGGGCTAAGATATCATAAACACTCTTGCTAATTAAGACTTTCGTTTAAGATTATTGTGAAATGTTATGTGATTTTTTTGAGTATTTTATTATCATAAATAATTACTTTCAAAAAAGTGTTAGACATTAATATAATTATTAAATTATATTAATAAATTAATTAAAATTAATTTAATTATAATAAATTAACATTTTAATAAAATATTTTGTAGAAAACCTATCGAACGGCAACCCCAAACATACCCTAACATGTAGTATTGAATTGGCATGTGTTTTTTTTTATTTTTTATTAATCAATTATTAATTATAAATGGAAACAGAGTCAATGGGGCTGAGGAAGTATGAGAAATGGCACCTTCCTATTATCTAAAGAACAAAAAGAAGCAACATTGCTTCTTTATAAAGAATACCTTACTTTGATGAGCAACATTATAGTAGCTTGTTATATGCAAATCTTAATTCCTTTCTAGAAGTCTAGAGTGAAGAAGTAGGGTGAATTAAAAAGATGAAAGAGAGTTAAAGTTTCATCTTCTCTCACCTCATGAAAGAGGTCAATATTACATATATTTTTGTAAATCACAAATCGTATAATAATCAACCAAGTATTTCTATTAAACTTGTGTGGTAGTCAACAAATTTTAAGAGACAAAAAAAAAAGAAAAAGAAAAAAAAAGACAATGTATTCTAAAATTCATCTAAAACAAGGAATAAGGTCTCCTATTATGTAAAAACAATGACCAGAAAAAGAACAGTGCTGGCAATTTCTTTTTATATTTATGGAAGCAACTATTAAATCCAAATGATACACTTGAGAGTTTTAAAAAGAAATAATTTGTTTTTGTTAATTATTTTTTGCACAAATATAAATCGCTAGCTGTTATGGTTCATTTTTTTTTCCCTTATTTTTTTTAATAAAATCTTTTTTCCCGTCCCGCACTCGGTGGCCAAATGGCCATCCTTGCAAATGACGTGCGTAGGATTACAAAAACTTGGTATCAATTTCAAGTCTCCCATTCCCTCTTCCTCCAAGAAAAAAAAAGATTTCACACTGTTTAAAAAAAAAAAAAAATCTTTTTTCCCAACAAAATATAATTGGAATATGCAAAAATAAAATTCCATCGCCAAAGCAAGGAGAGGAGTTCTGTTATTCTAACTCGCCGCATCTCCAGCTCCAATTGCAAACCTTCCGTCCGACGAATTTGCCCCGGCAAATCTCCACTAAATTGAAAGAGGGAGCCCCGCCGATTACCCACCTGCTGCTCGCATCCCTCCTCCCGTCCGCCCCTTCTATTGCGAGCACTTCCATCTCAACCGTCGAAACAAAATCGGAGGATACAGGGGAACGAAGAAGCGGAAGTGAAGAAGGCGAGGCATGGGAGATATCTTTGCTTGGCTCATTTCCTTTTTCATCCTCATAGCACTCCTCGTCATCATTGTTTACCAGGTCAACTCCATCAAAAACCCTAGAACCTTCGATTATTTCTTTTCCTGGATTTTCTCATTTATCTGTAAATATTATCAGATGTATTGTTCAAACTGAGTTCATAGGAGTAATAAGGATTAAGGAAGAATTCCCTGCTATTTATGCTAAATTTTGTTGTAACTGCTGTTTTCTATGCTGATGCCTTTAAGGTTATTTGTCTAAATTTTAGATTCCTTGGGAATACTAGGTTACTACTTGGAAAGAGTTTCATGTTGCATCTGTAGCATGTTTGATGTTATATTAATTGGGAAATGAAAGTTTACATTTTGATGAGATTTGTTGCAGCTTATGTGCTTGGCTGATCTTGAATTTGATTATATCAACCCATATGATTCGGCATCGCGGATAAATAGAGTGGTTATGCCAGAGTTAATCACACAAGCAGTTCTGTGCTTCTTCTATCTTGTAACGGGACACTGGGTTATGTCGTTGCTTTGTGCCCCGTATTTGTACTACAATGTTAGACTGTAAGTTTTCTGTTTCTCACGTTCTGCTTCTAAAAATGGGTTTCTCTGTTCAAAGCAAACAATAAATGCTACCTGTAACCGTGTGGTGTTTTGTGTTTGAAAGTCCATTTGTGGCAAAGTTAGAAATTTTATGTTTGGACTTTGGGAAAATGGCATGTTTTGGTACAGATGAAGGTGAAAAGCATCAAAGAAGATGATGGATTTAGGATGGAATATATGAAACAAAAGCTGAAAAGCATCAAAGAAGATAATGGATTTGGGATGGAATATATGAAACAAAAGCAAGTGTTTACATAGATGGCTTCATTGATTTTCATTTTCTTGAACTGCAATTTTGTTTTTTTAAGTAAAATTGTGCAAAATAAATTGAACTTAATTCTTGTGTTAAAAAGTCAGAATGCTTGTTATCATCAAGTTTGTTCTTGTCATGAACGATGCTGCTACTCATACTAATGGTTCTACTGGTATTAAGGAAAGGGCAGATAGAAGATTAGATTTGATTTAGGTCTCAGAGGTTTCAGATAACATTAACTGATTTCATATGCCAAGTTTGATATGTTTACAAGTAGTGTACTTTTTAAGATGGGGGGCGGCTTTGTACTGCTTTGTAGAGTCCTTGTGAGAGCCATGCAGAATATGTTGTTGCTTTCATTAAATTCATCAAGTTATTATCATTTTGATAATGGCTTTGAGCACAGTGGTGCTTACAATACATGATGTTCTATAATTTATTGTGGTCATCCAATTGCATATGTTACCGTTTTCTTTCCCTTTTTTCCCCTGACCTTTTCTCTTTCTGGTATCAGTTACCAAGGAAACCAGCATCTGATAGATGTGACCGAGATATTCAACTTGCTTAACCGGGAAAAGAAGCAACGGCTATTCAAACTGGGTTATCTTATTGTCCTCCTATTTTTCTCCTTGTTCTGGTACGTTATTAACACAACCTCTTCTTGCTCTACCTGTATGGGTTGGATATTCTGAAGCTTCTAACATGGGAACTTCTCTTCCTATTTTGTGTTTGTTAGGATGATTTACAGTGCATTGGACGAAGAAGAATGAAATGAAGGCCTGCCTAGCATTCCTGGACATCTTTCAAAAATTATTCATTGCTGTAGAACTGCTGATTCCTCTCAGTGGTTCACACTACTTTGCCGCATTGATTGAACTTGGTCGTTGTGATTGATATAGCTTAAATCACAATTTGTATAATTGTGAGGTTTCTTTTGATTTTAACTGCAAAATGGTTTCAGGCATCCAGTGTTATTTGAGGCATTCAGTTATGATACCTTCTCTTCACTCTTGGATTGAGTTTGATGTATTCAATGTTAAAACTTTGGAGTTGGAAATTAGGAATTGCGTTCACTTTGTTACGGGCTTGCTTGGACTGGCGGAAACCTTTATTACCTGTTTTCAGCATTTTCCCATCCTGGTTTTACACTTTCAAAACCATCATTTTGATTCCTTTTCAAAAAAAAAAAAAAAATCATTTTTTTATGTATAAATTAGGAATTAAGCTTTAGATTTGTGATTAAGAGTGTAAGGACTTCTACTACAAGATCATATAAGTGATGGTAAAAAAAAAAAAAAAAAAAACCAGCCATCATTCTGATAAGAAATTTTGCACTATCCCATCCAAATCGGCACTCCATTTAGAGTTTTTCTTTTCCTTTCTTCCCTTTTTTTTTTTTTTTTTTTTGGGTTTTTGGTTGCAGGGCAGCATAAGGCATTATAAAGAAAATTCTTGAAAATTTGTGTAATTTTCTTTAAATAATTAAAATTTTCGTAGTAATCTTTTATTGCGTGAAAATGAAAATAATTTTTTGTTTTTATTTTTGATTTTTTTAACTTAAATACATATTAAACATATAATTAATATATTTGTCATTAATATTAATATTAAAAATAAAAAATTCTGAAATTAATCTAATTGCCAATGCAACGTGAATTTTTTTAATTAAACAGCTGTTTAAATAAAAATTAATTTTTATTTTTTAATAATAATTAATATTAAAAAAATACCAACATTTTTAAGCCTTTACTTTTTGCGAATTGACGGAGCCACCGGGTCAGGCACGCTTTCTTAGATTGGGCTTTGGCGTTTTGGGCCTTGGGCCCAAACGTGGAAAAAGGACGCGAATTTATAATAGTGAGAGTGAGATAGGTGGACTGGGGTGGCTTTAGTTTTTCCAGTCCCTTTTCTTCTTCCATCGTTTCTTCAGGTATCTCTTTATTTTAGAACTCAGTTTCTGAAATCTATTAATCTGTTTGTAAATAATCTGAAATTGCTTATTTTTACAATCTGTACGAGATTGGCCGTATTTGTTTAAGAATTTTAATGAATATAACGATATTAAATTCTCGGATTAATGTAGTTTTTCTTTGATTGCAATGTTTCTGCGTTTTTTTTTATTTTTATTTTTATTATTAATGATTTATTGTCTTGTTTGCGTTCTTTGGTTGAATTGCACTCTACCCTTTGTTTTAATGGTGATTAATTTGGGTTTACTTTTTTTCTTTCTTTCTTTCCTTCTTTTTTTTTTCCTTGCTAGATGTAACATTTAAAGTAATAGTGATAGCTGTTCAAGGTGTGCTCAAGAAATTCTGTTTATATTGATTTTTGATTGTTTTAATCATTTATTAGGATTATCTGGAAGAATGATTGTGATTCATCAATCGGCTATGTTATATGTAGACATAGTATGGGATTCGTGGTTGACTTGTTGGACCCAGTATTCAGCATTCCGGAGGTGTACCAAGTTTATCTAGAAATGTTAGATTGGTTAGAATCTTTTAATCTTAAGAGGGTAGATTCAGATGGTTGAAAAACTAGCTTGTCTTTAGTTGGCCTTGTAATTTTAGATGATGGGTCCTAGTTTAACAAGCTTTTTGAGTAATTTGCTAACTGTTTATCAGGCGAAACAAATACATGCTTACATGCTTATAAACAGTCTTAACCACCTGCAGTCCCTCTTAGTTCGCCAAATCCTTCTTTCATCTACGAACTACTCTAGAACTGTTGCTCAATATGTGCAAAAAATCCTTTTTCATTCACAAAATCCGGATGCCTTTTCTTGGAGTTGCATGATTCGATTTTTGTCGCAGCACAGCCAATTTAGAGAAGCCTTGTATCTTTATGTTCAAATGCCTAAGCTAGGATTGTGCCCTACAACACATGCCATTTCTTCTGCATTAAGGGCATGTGCTAGGACTGGATGTAAAATAGGCGGACCTATGATTCATGGTCAGGTTCATAGATATGGGTTTTGCAACTGTGTTTATGTCGAGACAGCACTTGTGGATCTTTATACTAAGTTGGGTGATATGAAGATGGCTAGTAAGGTTTTTCAGGAGATGCCAGTGAAAAATGTGGTTTCATGGAATTCAATTTTATCTGGGCATTTGAAATCTGGGAATCTCGCAGAGGCTCATCGGGTGTTTGATGAGATTCCTAAGAAAGATGTTATTTCTTGGAATGCAATCCTATCTGGGTATGCAAGAACAGGGAATGTTGATATGGCATCCTTTTTGTTTCTCCAGATGCCAGAGAAGAATTTGGCTTCTTGGAATGCAATGATTAGTGGTTATGCTGAATGTGGAAAAATGGAATCAGCACGGAGCCTCTTTGATGTGATGCCTCAAAGAAATATTATTTCTTGGATCACAATGATTTCTGGTTACTCAAGATGTGGGGATATTGTTTCTGCCCGGGAACTCTTTGATCAAATGGGGGAAAAGGATCATTTATCCTTTAATGCCATTATAGCTTGCTATGCTCAAAACAACCAACCAGAAGAGGCCCTCAAATTGTTTAATGAGATGCTTGATGGTGGTAGAAATACCCAGCCAGATGAGATGACTCTGGCAAGTGTCATATCTGCTTGTTCACAACTAGGAGAACCAAGATTTGGTCCATGGATTGAGTCGTGTATAAATAATCTTGGGATCCAAATGGATGATCATATGACTACAGCTTTAATTGATTTGTATGCCAAATGTGGGAGCATTGATAAGGCACAGAACTTGTTTCATAGTCTGAGAAAGAAGGATGTGGTTGCTTACAGTGCAATGATATTGGGATGTGGCATCAATAGTAAGATTGACGATGCCATTATGTTATTCAAAGAAATGATAGATGCACAGGTTCTTCCAAATCTGGCCACGTTCACTGGATTATTAAGTGCGTATAGCCATGCTGGTCTGGTTGAAGAAGGCTTCCAGTGCTTTTGCTCCATCAAGGACCATGGGCTTGTGCCCTCAACTGATCATTACGCAATCATGGTAGATCTTTTAGGCCGGGCTGGAAGATTAGGAGAAGCATATGAACTTATAAAGAGTATGCCCATGCAGCCTCATATTGGAGTTTGGGGGGCTTTGCTCCTTGCCTGCAGTTTGCATAACAACGTTGAGTTTGGAGAGGTTGCTGCCCAGCATTGCTTTGAGATGGAGCCTGGTACATCTGGTTATTACTCTCTTCTTGCTAACATCTATGCCTCTGTTGGGAGGTGGGATGATGCCAGAAGATTGAGAAGTATTATGGAAAAGAAGAAATTGGCCAAGGCGCCTGGGTGTAGTTGGAGAGATTTTTCTTGATTCTTCAATGAATGGGACGACGCACATATTTACTGCATCAAGACCAGAAAACTTGGTGATGGCAAGTTGATAATTAATGCCTTGGTTCCTTTAAAATGAATGCAATTTTTAGGTGGCACATAACTTAGGTTAGAGCATATGCCTGAAACTTTATTCTTTTCTGTACCGTAGAACCTCTGGTTTTAGCAGCTTGCTCTTTAAGTGGAAGTCAGTAGTTTATTGTTTCTGTAATTAGGCTAGTAAAGGAGTTAGTAATATAAACTAATAAAAGCTGAAATATTAATTGTTGTTTTTCCTTCATCGCTCAGGGATGACCAAATATCTCAATTTTGAGGTTTTTTTTTATTTTATTTTTTATTTTTGTCTTTTTCTTTTCAAGTGAGGTTCTCTGTCTCTGGTTTCTTTTTACTTGAAAATTTGACTTGATTCTTTGTTCCATGTACTTCTAAAAAGTGATTCATGTTTCTTCATGTATGACACTTTCTTTTCTTTCCTTTCTTTCGTTTTTCACTTTTTTCCTTTTTAGGATAGCCATATTTTGATTGTGATTAGCTCTCATCCCAGACTATGGTTTATGTTGCAGTTCAGGCTTCTAAGGCTGCTGATACATGATGGTGAATGCAACTAAAGGACTGTTCATTTCATGGTAAAGCTTGCTATCTATTCATAGTTTAGCATTCAGTCGGGGACTTGTAATTCATTCATGTTTCTACATACAACACCAAACTCAGTTGCTTTGCATCTCTACAGTACATATACAGAACTGCTAGAACTGACGTTGTATTTGGGATTTGTTCAACTTTCATGTAGTAGAACATAACAAACACCGAAAGGATATAGAACTAATGAATGATCAACCCATGCATGGCAATCCGCAGTATAACTACTCACTGTTGCAGCCGACATTTAGCGGCTAACAGACTGTTTCATTCATTTTGCAGTGATGTTCCCATGGCTCAGTTCATCATCAATTTGAATGCCTCGATGCCAGCATCACAGAAGTTCATAATACATATTCTGGATAACACACACCTATTTGTGCAACCTCATGCAGCTGAAATGATTCGAATCGCCATTTCTGAGTTCAGAGAGCAGAATTCGTATGAGAAACCTGCTTGATACCATTGCTTCGCTTGTTTCTTTAGCCTGTTCATGTCATCTGGGAAAACTGATAAATCAAGCAGATATTTTGAACTGGATTTCCTGCTATTAGTTTGATTGTGATTTAAGTTAAAAAAAAAAAAAAAAATTCTGCCGGTGAGTTATTGTATTTCTTTACGAAGTTAAATCGTACCAACTTATAAAATTATATCATGTTTTACGCTTTACTATTATTTGTTTCTTTATATTCACGTGTTTTTTATATGCAAAATAATGGGAAAAAAAATATTGTAGATTTTTTGAGGTATCAAATATTATAAAGCTTAATCATACACATGATATATTTGAAAAATATCATAGAAAAATGAATAGATTAATTTATATATAAATTTTATATAATACATTTACATAAAATTTTAATTATTTATTTTATTTATTTTTAATAATTAAAATTTATTTATATTTGTTAAAGATAATTGTTTTTTTATTTAAAAATTATAATAAACCTTAATCATTGATAATAAAAAAATAAATAATTAAGATTTTTTTTTATAAATTTAATACGTAAGATTTATGTGTAAAAACATCTTAATTTTATTTTAGGGTTAAACATTTTTTAAAATTATTTTTAACCCCATTTTTGTGTATAGATATTATAAAGTGGGCTATATAGAATTGAATAATCCTTGTTTTTTTTCATAATTTTCTCCACCCATTTTTTCAGGTTAAATTTAAAAAATCCAATTTTGATTTTCATCCTCCTACTCATTTCTCTGGTAGAGAAATTATGTTTACTCTAATAATTAAAGTATTTTTTTTCCCCCTTAAAAATGGGAGTCATTATGTGCTTCGTTGTCTTTTCACAAATCCTATTTCATTTTTTTATTAACTTTATGATATTTAGTAATTATATTAAATTTTAATTAATTTATAATCAAATCATGAATCCTATTAAACAACTACTTTTTTAATATCATTTTTTTATTTATAATATTTAAATTTAAGATTTTATTTAAAAAAAAAAAACCTATATACTCTCATTCGGAGCAAAGGATCGTTAGTAGAAATCCTATTTCTATCCGAAGTGGTAAGAAGGATCCCAAACCAGTTCAGTATTTGATTTACAATAATAGCGAGAGCATCCGATTGTTCCAAACCCCCCAACCCCCGCAACCCCCACAACGCAACTTGTTCTAACTAAGAACGAAGAACCAAACTCACTTCTTCATCGCAACAAACAGACACGATTATGGCAGTCTCTCTTAACAGCAACCTGCGTCACCCTTCAATCCGGTTCGCTCTCTTTTCCTCTTCCTCTTCTCTTAATTCTACAGTCTTCTTGTATTTATGCACGTATATCTAAAATGGGCGTTCCTTCTTCTCCACTTTTTTTTTTTTCTTTCTGGCAGTTGCGAGGTCAAGCCTTATACTGGATCCAAGCTTCGATCTCCATGTCAATCTTCTCCTCTCCTTCGCTTTTTCCGTTTTCCCCCACCCCTTAATACTCCACTCTAAATTTTGATTATTTATTTTTTGTTTTTAATTTATATAGTTTTGTTTGGCAATGGGAGACCACGCTTGAATTCACAATTCTATGGCATGGTTCACAAGAGCCTCCAATGCGGGTCCGTATTTATTTCTTTACATTCTCATTCTCTAATTCTCATTGCTATTGCTATTCATTTCCGAGTTTCTTATGCTATTATCTAATTTACCTATGGTATGAATTGCTGTTGAAAAAATTGTTTTCGGAACGAATATATTTTATCTTTTTTGTGAAATGGGGTTAGAATTAGATTGCTGCCATGTTGATTGGTGTATTCTTTGTCCAGGTTGTACTTTGAAGTTTGAAGTGTATTTTCTTTAATGTTCAATCTGAATTAGTCTCCTTGGATCAAAATAATATGTCACTGGGTTATTTTCAAGTTTTCAATTAGCTATTATGCCGCTTGAGTGTTGCGAATTTCTATGTTGGCAGGAGTAACTATGATTATCCAATTAGATCGCGGTTTACAATGATGCCAATAGGCACACCGAGAGTGCCATACAGAACTCCTGGTGAGGGAACTACTCAATGGGTTGATATATGGAATGCCCTTGTAAGTTGTCACAACTAGTTTTATATTCTTTGGAATTGTAAACCTAATTTGTCATTAGAAGATTCTAGTATGCATGGTGTTTTTCTCCTTTTTTTGTATCACCAGCCAGGGGATGACCCTAACTATTTTCTGTATCATTCTTGAGTTTTGTTTAATTTCCTCCCTGTAATTTTTTTATGGCTTCTAGAAACTAAAGAAATACCTGTGATGCAGTATCGAGAGCGTATTATCTTCATTGGACAGCATATGGATGAGGCATACAGCAATCAAATATTGGGAACAATGTTGTACCTTGACAGTGTTGATGATTCTAAAAGGCTTCAGTTTTTCATTTGTAGTCCTGGTGGAGATGTGAGTTCTTTCTTTTGGGCCCTATTTTTTCTAGCGTTTGTTTGCTTCGTGGTTTGTGCTAAGAAGTTGCTTTCGTCGCAGCTTACTCCAGGCCTGGCAATTTATGACACACTGCAGAGCTTGAAGAGTCCTGTGACCACCTTCTGTATAGGTTATGCCTATAATTTAGCAGGTTTCCTTGTTGCAGCTGGGGAGAAGGTATTGCTCTCCACTCTAGAAAGTTAATAATTTCATGTGGTACGGTGCAAGGCATTATCCTTTTAAACTTTAGTTTGACTAACTTGTTCAAGGCATATGTGGTATGGTTGGCCTGATAGTACTTAGTTGAGATGCTTGGTTCAGCCCCTTCTTTATGCTCAATGTATTATCTGGTCTAGGTGATATACCTGTTATTTTTTTTCATAGCTAAACTTTGAAATTTCTCTCATTTGCTTTCCTGCCATATGAAGGGTCATCGCCTTGCAATGCCTCTTGCAAAAATTGCTCTACAGTCTCCAGCTGGGGCAGCTCGTGGTCAGGTATAACTGCATGCCACTATATTGAAAAATACTCTCTTTTTTTTTTTTCTTTTTCTTCTTTTTTTTTTTCTTTTTTTTTTTTAACCTTGATAACGCTAACTTTGTAGTGGTAACATAATTATTGACAGGCTGATGATGTCCAAAATGAAGCAAATGAGCTTCTTAGAATTAGAGATTACCTTTTCAATGAGTTGGCCAAGAACACAGGACAGCCTGCTGAAAAGGTAATTTTTCTCATTAACAAACCTAATGTCCTTTCCTTTCACTTTGTATTTTGTTCTCAGTCATTTAAAATTTTAAGTTGTTGCTAGTCATCAGCATTGCCTTATAACTTATGTTGATGTGCAGATTTACCAGGACTTGAGCCGGATCAAACGCTTCAACGCTCAAGAGGCTCTTGAATATGGGCTTATTGATCGTATAGTCAGACCAACCCCTATTAAACCTGATGGAGCTCGCAAAAGTGCAGAAACAATTCTTGGTTAGGTTATTTTGTTTTCACCCCTCAACAGGCACTACTAAATCTTTGTATGTTTTCTTAACTCACTAAGTTTATTTATTTTTCTACATGTGGCATTAGTTATTCAACTTCACTGTTTTTACATAAGATGGTTTATTTTTGTGAATGCCTTAGAGTTAGTGATGGCTTGATGCAGTTTTTTGTATATGAGCAGTACTGCTCCTGTATCTTTTTTTGTCACCTGCTCTGGTTGTGAATTTTTTTGAATTTATCATAATTTTTGCATCTAGTTCTCATTGTTATAGGAAAATATAAACCAAAAAAAAAAAAAAAAAAAAAAGAAGAAGAAACTTTTTATACTATTTTTATTGCAAGATAAACATAATACACTTTTAAATATTGATAGTTCATATTGTTCCCATCAATAAACTGAAGATAGCCCCTACAAGAAAAACAGTTGGGATTCGCATATAAAAATAAAAATAAAGAATAAAAAGCAGAAGAAGAAGACATAGAAAGTTGGGGTTGGGTGTATTTAGGACCAATTTATCAGAGATGGTAAAAGTTTATGCTTCATAGCCAATTTTTTAGGCCCTTTCTTCATTCTCCATCGACTTCTCTTTCCGCCATTCCTCAGTGACTTTATTAATGAAGGCTTCTACCTTTCTCTCTAGATTCTCATCATATCCGTCTCCATCATCATCACCGCCATTATCGTGGTCATCTTTATGATAACCATTAGAAATACAAACTTCAGCTTCTTCTTCTTCTTTTTCTTCTTCTGCTTCTTCTTCTTCCTTGTGGTTTTCCTCGATGATTGGATCATAAGCACCTTCTACTTCATGCAAGTTGGAAAAAAAGGGCATATCTCTCTCAGTTTCATGCACAGGCGACTTATCGCTTCCGACTATTGAAGCAACAATAATGGTGTTGAACACTGAGAAGATTATAAGAGGGTGGCTGAAAGAGAATCCATGATTATTCAGAATCAGGACCAGAATGGCAGCAATACTAACAACTAAAATGGCAAGTACCGGCCGCCAGACCAGCGTTATGGAGTATAAAACTTCTTTTTCTTCTTCCTTGTGGTTTACCTTAATGATTGATTCATAAGCACCTTCAACTTCAAACCAGTAGGAAAAAAATGGCAAGTCTCCCTCGGTTACATGCACAGGCGACTTACGACTTCCGACTATTGAAGCAACAATAATGGTATTGAACACTGAGAAGATTATAAGAGGGTGGCTAAAAGAAAATTCATGATTATTCATAATCAGGACCAGAATGG